TTTTAGTAGAGACAGGGTCTCGCTCTTGCTCAGGCTGGTTTCGAACTCCCGAGCTCAAACAATCTGCCCGCCTCGGCCTCCCAGAGAGCTAGGATTACAGGCGTGAGCCACCGCACCCGGCTGTTCCTCAATAATTTTTAACGTAAAGATCAAAAACTTTGAGGATCGAGTGCTCACGTTAACTGAGTGCTCACTGTGGGCCAGACAGGTACACTGAAGGCTTTCTATGCACCATTGCATTTGACCCTCACAGTACCCCTGGGAGCTAGAGGACATGAGCATCTGCATTGTACGGAGGTGGAAACTAGGGTGGTTGGGTAACCTGCCCCGTGTCACACAGGGCCACGATGCAAACACAGATCCAAGTAACTGAGGAGTAAATCTCCCCACTGCCCCCCGCAAGCACAGAGCTCGTGCACACTGTCCAGCTCTTTGTGGTCATTCGTTCTAGTGAAGTCAACATACGTTGACTCCAGCACCTACTGTGTTCTTTTAGGCATTTGCTTTGGGCATCTTGGGAAAAAATTTTCAAAGGCAGAAGGGAAATTTTGAGAGAAAAGAGGCCAAAAATGTCAGCTGGATGAGCGAGGGGAGAGGACAGTGGGATGGGCCCTGGAGGTTAGGGTCTGACGATATAGAGGGTACATTTCTCAGAACCTTCCCCAGAGCCAAAAATCCATTCCGCTTAATGGTACTAGCTCTCTTCCCACTGTCTGCATGACCGCTCTTCACCCTGTTGGGCTCAGATGGGGACATTACTCCCACTGGGATGGGAAACTCAAGGGGGCCGGGCCTGAGACAGAGTGCGGGGCCTGCAGTTCTGCTCCAGCCACTGTGGCAATGTGTTGTGCAATTCAGAAACAGCCTTCCTGATTTATGTTGGCTTCACAGAGAGCAGGTTTCCCAATCCCTGAGCTGCTTTATGGAGTGAGAAGTGCAGCAGCCAGATGTGCCCCTCAGGCTGATAGGGAGTGAGTGCGCATGGCGTCTGGAGCTCGGTCTGCAGATAAGGGCCAGGGATCAGGCGAGGAGGACAATTTAATTATCAGCCAACCTAATCCTCTTTTGGAGTTCTTTTGGCAGGCGTGCTAGGCTGCCTGGTGCCCTAGAGTGACAGAGCGGGGCCCTGCGACAGTGAGCCAGAGCACAGTCAAGCGTACTCACAGGAACCAGTCCACTGCGATGATGAGCGTGATGTCATCGGTGGGCAGGCCCACGGAGGTCAGCACGATGACCATAGTGACCAGACCTGCCTGAGGAATTCCAGCTGCCCCAATACTGGCGGCCGTGGCTGTGATGCTGTTGAACAAAGAAAACAACAGAAAACATTTTTACAAAGCTCTCCAAGTAGAGCGTGTACCCTGCAAAACATGCACAATGCCAGTGGCCGACTTGCCATGTAACAGAAGAGGATGTGCTTCAGAAAAATGTAAAAGAGATTTAAAAAAATCATTAAGGTCATAATCATACTAATATTTTTATCATGCGCTTATTATGTGTCATCTGATATGCCGAGCATGGCTTATCTCATTTGATCCTCACAGCAACCCTTATGAAGTTAGTCCTGTTGTGATAGCTGTTTTTAAATGAAGAAACTGTTAGCTATATACTTTTTCGTGACCCTGAAAGTATTTTGTAAGGTCCAAAATGCTGTTGAGTTACAATAAAAATTTGTTTCTAATCATTCCCTTATCCAAGTGGGGGGCTGTAAAGATACTGAACATGCATCATTCATTGCAGAAAAAATCATTTATTAATTCAAAAGCAAAATAATTTATGAACAAAGTTCTATAGTGAAGTATAATCTAACACTTTTAAAAATGAGAAATATCCATAGTATGTATTTTGCAGACATCATAAAAAGAATGAGCTAGATATATTTATAAATGGTATAGTGATAAGCAAACCAATCAAGGAGCAAACAGTATGTATGGTATGACTCCATTAATTACAAAAAAGAAGTATGTGCATGTCTACGCATAAGAAAAGGTTTTTCCAAACCAAACCCAAACACCTACAGAAAGATGTGGAGTGATATGGTGGCAGGCAAGTTTCCCTTCTTACTTTATGCACTTCTCTATTATTTGAATACTGTTATTAATGAGTGTGTAAATCTTTAATCTTAAAACTAGCAAAAATATCTAAATATAAAAATAAAACTATTCCCCCCAACCCCAAACTCCTGATTATATGTGATCCCCCCTCCCAACCAGTTTCTTCACCCAATCCTGATCACCCTCTGGTATTTTAAAGACAGTCTTCAGAAAATGTGTGTAGAACTCGTTCCTTGTACCTGATTGTGATAATCTGTCCAAAGTTCAGTTCAAAGTTGTTAACTTGAGCGATGAAGATGGCGGCCAAAGCCTCATAGAGGGCAGTCCCATCCATGTTAATGGTGGCCCCCACGGGAAGCACGAATCTGGTGACGCGTTTGTCCACACCATTGTTCTCTTCCAGGCACTTGAAGGTGATGGGTAGAGTGGCAGAACTGAGAACAGTGGAATAGAGCATGTCAGCTGAGGGTCCTGGTAGTTCAGACTGTGTCTGCGTGTTTGGTCTTTCGGACAGACAGTTCCTTCCTCTCCTACATCCTAACTTAAAGGGAACTAAGTCAGCACTTGTATAAATAGGGGAGCGGGGTTAGGAACAGTGTGGTCCCCTCACGGGGTCATTTGGCAGCTCTCCTGTTTCTGGGTTCCTCTGTGAGGCACCACTTGTGACCGCTCCCCCATCACAACAGCCTGTGCCAAGTCCTTCCGGCGTTTCTCCCCATGGGAAATATCAACTGGAAGAGGGAGAGGAGAGTGGGCAGGAAAAGATAGTTGATTTCCATTTTGTTCCCAGAAGAGCATATAGCCAGCCATTCCCTGAATCCTAAATAAGTCTGGTGAGCATCACACATGAAAAAGCCAATTCATTGTTCCTGGAAGTTAAAACCCAGAACAAAATGCCTCCTCCTACCCCCAACTTGAGAGGCTCTGGTTCAAAGTAAAGCTTCAGACACAATTTCTGATAGGAGTAAGCTGTACGTATATATACACATACCTTGAAGAGGTCCCCAGAGCTGTGACAAGTGCTTGCAGCAACCCTCCAATAAAAACCCAGGGGTTTTTCCGGGTAACCAAGAAGTAGAGGAGGGGCAGCACGATGACTGCGTGAATGAGTAAGCCAACAATGACGGTCACGGTGTACATGGCAAGTTGCCCCCCAATCACACCCATGTCTTCCATCTCGACAATTTTCCCGGCGATCAGGAAGAGGATGCCCAGAGGGGCGTACCTGCAGAGAAGCGACACACGCACAGTCAGTCTGGTTTCCACCAAGCTAGTCTGCAGAAATTTCCAAGTAATAAGAGAAAGGGAAAGAGAGTTGATTTCCAAACTTTTCTGCCCATGGTACTTATTAGGACTTGTAGAAACTGCGAACTTCTTTCTTTTCTTACTTAAATATAAATTTAATTCTGGTTATTGCAGAATCGGGCTTACCCCTCACTCAGCATTGCTCTAGGACACAATTTTTTTTCCTCTTAAACCGGTGAAAAAAGGCGGGTACCCAGCTATTGTTACTCATCTCTGTTTTCCTAGACAGTTCTCCTTTTGCCACACCTGGGTCACTTTTTTGATCCTCAGATGCCACCCACTCCCCCTGCCTCCTGCTCCCCTGCTAAGTACCTTGAACTGCCTGAATCCGCTGCACTGACATCCAGAGTTTGGAGACATTTTCCACATCAGAGCCTGATTCCCAAGTTACAGCAAGAGGCACACAAAGCTACGTAGTGTTTCAAGTTCTCAGTCAGCTCCTTTCTTCAATGATCACTTTTATTAATGTTTCTCCACAGCTACACACCACTTGCAGTATGACTTAGTATTATTCTTAAAACACCTTTTTTACTTAAGTAAGTTTACTTTAAGAGAAAATTTTATGTCGTAGTGCAAACAGAAAACTAGTACCACTTTCCATAAATAGAAGGTGTCCATAAACTTAATCATGTGCATGTCTGTACTCCCATATCAGGTTATAGGTGTTCTAATTCAGCAATTATCACCCACAGGCTGCTATTGCCTTTTGCAAGCTTTTCCCCTGCAGACTGTAAGAATGAACAACTGAGACACAAAATGACTTGTACATATTGAAATAACCCTGGTTGCCTAAAGGCCCTGCTGCCCGCTTTCCACTCCCTTTGTCTGATATGTGCAGTAAACTGCAACCAAACTCACACTACCAAACACAGAGAAGCCAATCACCCTTGAGGAGTAGAGTCTGCTGGGAACTGTGGAGAACTTATTTCAAATTGAAAAATACAATGCTTCTTTCAAAAGTCCTTAAAAACACAGGCCAGGAAATCACAGGAGTACCTGTTTTCAGAAATGTAATAACTCAATATTGAATGTGCAGGCAAATGTACAGCTAGAAAGGCCACATGTGAGGTTCATTCAGTGGCCTTGAATGGGCTTCTTTCATAAGAGAGGTGAAAGGTGGAGGCATTTTAATAATATGAAGATAAATGTCCACTTTCATTCCTGCCAGGATTTCAAAGGAGCCTTCCCATTGGGGGCTCCCGTGGAGACCACATTCTGATCCGTCTTTGTGCGCAAGTTCATGTTCATCTTGTATAAACTCCTGAAAAATGAATTTCTCTGGGCTTTGATGGCATTAAAGACATAGAACATTTTTAATCATGTTGGCGAGGGAGTGCTTTTCTTAGCAATGGATGTCTTCTTGCCTCAGGTGCCAAGGAGGAGTCTAGATTAAAAATAAGGCATAAAAGACAGGGAACCCCCACGTGAGGCCTCAGCCAATCAAAGGGTTCTCTCCCTGCTGGGAGAGTTAACTTTCCGAGGTCAATGTTCCTCTTTGGATTTGGTCTGTCCCTTTTTGTCCTGCTTTCAACTTTATTAAAGGAAGTTTTGTTATAAATTGTGGCCTGGTGTTCTATAATACTTCCCTTGGTTCCTTCACATACTGCAGCAGAACTGCCATTTACAATTCTTTGTTAAGGCTGACACAGAGTGAGGAGACCTCAGTCTTCCTGGTAGTCTAGGGGCTTCTGCATTTGCTTCTCCCTCTACTGTGAATGCTATTCTCCTGACACTTTGTATGACTGGCCTCCTCTGGTTATTCAGGTCTAAGCAAAAAACGTCACCTCCTCATAGGCCTTTCTGTACCATCCAGTGCAAATTTCATGCCCTCTCCCCAGTCAACCTAATATTTTGTTTTATTTTATTTTTTCATAGCACTTGTGACTAAAGCATACGGTTGATTTATTTGTTTGTTTATCCTCTGTCTTCTTTAAAAGAATGTAAGATCCAGAATATTCTCGTATGTTTTCTTCATTGCTGTGTGCACAGTGCCTGGTACTGTATACTTGGCATATAGTAGACACTCAGTAAGTATGCCTTGAATGAATAACTAAGAATGGGATTCCATCAGCACTGGGGCAAAGGAGCTGACACCTTTTGAAAACAAGGAAGCAAACTTATTAAGAGAGGCTTGCAGATAGGTTCAATGCCTCTATGGGCCCAGAAATTCATTGATTTTCTTGTGCTTACCAGAGTGAGATAACCGCAATTGGCCATCCTGCCTTGTGGCATCATCCTCAGTACAGAACACATGTTGATAGCAATAAGCATGTTGTATACATCATATACAGCAAATGGAAATACATACCACATTATCACTGCTACCAATCTCATGATGGCTTCATTAAGAGAATCAAAGAACTCTCTCAGGGCCTGGCCCTGCTCCTTCATGTTTCCAATCACAAAACCGAAGCACATGGAGAAGACAACTAGTCCCAGGGCATTGACCCCGTTCACAGATCCTGGAACTGGGACCAGCTCCTCTGTGATCCGTGTAAGAGTCTCCATGGCCTCTGACACGTTGTTTATCACAGCCCCGACGAGCGTTTCGTTGGACTGGACAGTCACTTTAAAGCTTCTCTTCTCATAGTTGGTTTTAAACTTAAAAATAAAAAGAACGACAGGAGTTAATGGTGATTTTTATTTTTTCTCTATACTTTCCTGTTGTCCAAATTTTCTATAATTATATACATTACTTTGTATTCAGAGAATATTGTCATAGACAACATCCATCTATCTAATCTGTGGCAAACCCCTACTATTTCCTCAACACAGACAGGCAGACAGACACACACACAAATAAAGAATGACTCATAATAGGAAAGAAATATTTGGTTAAAGATGCTAGACTAAACACACACATGTGCTTTTGCTTTCTTCTGAAACCCTAATAAAATGACTATGGTGGGATTAAAAACCCCAAATAGTCACAATAATCCTTTTACTTTCCATGGGGATCATGCTATAGGATTGTGGACAAATCACCTAACATCCTTTCTTTCATATTCCACAGCCGTGAAACAGGAATAACTGTGCTGGTTCCACCTCACAGGGTTGTTGTGATGATCAAATTAAGAAGAATGTATGAGAACATCTTATAAATTTTAAACTACTATACTAATGATGGCTAATGGTGCTCAATGACAAAGCCCTTCAGGGATTAGACTTAGATGGAGATTTCAGTGGGTATTAACAATTAAAAATTGCTGGTCATAATCCCAGCAGCTCAGGAGGCCGAGGTGGGAGGATTACCTGAGCTCAGGAGTTTGAGGCCAGCCTGGGCAACATAGCAAGACTCCATCTCTCAAAAAATGAAAATAAAAAGTAATATAAAAAAATAAAAATAAAAATCCCCAAACAAACAATCTTCAAGCCATTCCTGATATTATCAATTCTTAAGAATAGGTGCCTGATTAATAGTTGGTGATGACAACTCACTTTCTCCAAGTCTGTACTGATGTTTCTCTTTCTTTTCTAACTCAAGAGATGGTCTTTTCTCCACAGTTTCTGTACAGATGCCCCAGACAGGAGATGCTGAGTACACTACTGGGGCCGTATGAAACAATCAAGCCCATCCCTTTATGATTTTAATGACAGTAGAATTCCTGGTCTTGATGGGGACTGTATAGTTAAGCATCAGTGAGAGTAATAATGTATGGGTGGTGACAGGATCTAGAATTGGGGGAGGAAAAAAGCACTGCCATATACGAAGTGCTTGACCATTTCTGTACCTGGGAGACTTTCTTGTCCATTGGGAAGCCACTATTCCCAAACAAGGGTATGCCCAGCTGTCAATACTGTGGACACATTCCCAAACAATAAATAGCATTGCTGGCAATTTCAAGCAGCAAAAAAACTCACCCCTGTTCATCTTCTATTCTAATCAAGTCTCAAAGTTCTTTATTTCATTGGGTGCTTATGCATTTATGGACTGTGTGGGGTAGATTTTCAGTCCTGATTAGCCTTTCTTATGTCTCCAACTTTGTTCCCTTAGACACAGTTTGTAGCCTACACAGAAACTGCAAACTTGTTTGCATTCTGTCTAAGCCAACTAGACCTGGGGAAAAACATTTGCTTCCCCTTCAAAATCCTGTAAATGCAATCCCAAACCAAACACAATAAATCTGCACGAGTCATCACTTTTCCCATCTGAAAGATCTAGAAATCAGCGTTTTTGATATCACCCAGTGCCAGCTGACTGACTGGAATAGTCAGCCCCATGGTGCTGGGGTTGGCTGGTCTGATTGAAAGAGGTTTATTATTTATGGTTACAGTTGTTTTTGAATAAAGAAAGTTAGATTTTGGCCTCTTAGGCTTTTTATTTTTTAAAGAAAGAATTGTTTGAATTTTGCAATGGGTGCATGCATTATTTATTAAAATAGACTTAATAAAAACTTTTAAAGGGGAAAAGAACAAAGGGGGGACTTAGATTGTGTAAAACCTGGTCCTCCATGGGGCTGGGGTTTTGTTTTGTTTTTTTTTACACATCCTAAGCAGAAGGGCTAGAGAATTACAGCAGGGGAGAATTGACATCATCTGGAGAAATGTTTGGGAAGTATTATTTAACCCAGAATGTCTGTTTCCCTGGTGATATTTTGGGCAACAAAGCTTTTATATTCAAGTGAGGTTATAATGAACTTTATTGATTTTATCCCCTAATAATAATAAATGTATTTATATCCAAACCATAGAACACCAAGAGTCGCTTGGATATGAGCTAAAAAGGAACTGAACCTCACTATATCCTTCAGGTAGGTGTCTCATCACCCTGGATATTCCTTTCCTGGAAACAGAACAGGGTAGTAGAAAGAGGATAAAATTTGAAGTCAACACAAGGGATTTGAATTCTGTTTCTGCCATTTACTACTTGTGAGAACTTGTGCCTGTTACATAATCCCCCTGAGTTCTTATAGTTGAGTTGCCTCATCAGTGAAATGAAGACAATGATACTCATCATATTTATGTGAGGACTAAATATAACATTAGTGCCTGGCACATAGCATGCATTCCATAAATGGTGATGCCATTCCTTTCTGATGTGGTTCTCCTTTAGAACCCACAAGGCCCTTAGTAGATGTCTAAAAACCAGTCCACTGGATTTTAAAATCAAACTCAGAAACCTGAATAATCTCTCAAATATTCTCTAAAGCAAGTTGTATATGTATTTTATGTTGGAATTTGCTTGCTTAGTAGACTTCTGCATGTGGGAAGTGTGGGCAGGGTGAGGGGATCTTGTGATTAGTCTTCTTACCAGTAACAGAGACTCAATGAGCTATTTGTATGTAAGACATACTGTGTCTGGCAACTAATATGCCTTCAGTACAAGGTAAGAACCACCCCTCCCCACAAAATTGTAGAGAAATAGAAAAAAAAAAAAAAGCGTCCTATTTGGTGTGGTATGCCAAAAAGGAATTTCAAAGGTGAATTAGTGGCTGTAGAGTATTTATTTACCTGTTTAAAGCAGGCTTCCACCAGATTTGGAGGGAACATGTTCCTGCAAAGAAAATAATAGTGACTTAAAAAATTCTCCAAATGTTTGCTCCTTAAATACTATATCATTGTATCTAAGGTAAAGATTGCATTGAACCAAGCAGCAAAGGGAAAAAGAGAAAGATTTTTGTGGATTTTATGACTTGAAATGGAACATATGGTCCCCCCTAAGTTGGGCACATGTAGTCCATGTTTTTCAGGGAAGTCTCCAATTCAACTCTTCTATCCTCTTGTCAGCCGATGGGATTCTCTGTGCAGTCATTACATTATCAGAACCCTGCTCCTAGGAAGAATCGAAGTGAAAATGGAAAGGGCTTTTATTATTAGCATTCTGGCTAACTGAGGTATTATTCAATAGTAGTCATTTTGGTTATTGTGACATGTGTGTAGGGACTGAATGTTCCGAATCAAAAGTCGTGGTCAGCCTATGGAATTTTGTTCTCCAAAAATTCCTCCAAAAGGCCATCTGGGGGATGGGATATTGGCACTGAACTGCTGGAGCTTCTGTAGCTCTTTGGTGGCCAATGGAGAGATGGCCCACAACATTTGAACTTGAGGCCCACATGGCAGGTTTGTCACTTCCTCAGAGGCTATGTCAGAGCAGTGTTTGAGTTCGTGGGAGTGGTGAGGGAGGAGCCACACTCTGGCTGCAAATTTCTAAGCAGCTATGAGGCACTGGCCAAGTAATGGCGCCCATTTATGTCTCAGTTGATTCATCTGTTACAGAGGAGATTGGATTAAACTATCATTAGGACTCCAAGATGGAAGACTGTGGGAGAAGAAGACATGACCTGGGCAGTTTTCTCAAGCTTGAGATCATAGCAGTTGTGTGCTATCTAAGTTATATTTTATGGTTATAAACTCTTGTCCCTTTCATCCTACTACCAAGGCCATTTGTTTTCTTTTCCTTCCCATCTATGCTCATGGGTTTATTTCTATAAACCTTGATAGAAGTGTGCATTCAGGAGATTCCAGGATAAGTGCTCAAGCTAAGCGACTGGGTGGGGACAGGATAATCATACACTTGTCACTGAGGCAAGGAGAGGCAGAAACACACAGAGCTCTGATGGATCAACCAGCCTGGGGATGACAAGATCTTAATTCTTTAAACAAGGAGTAAAAATTATAGAGGAAGAAAATATAAAATATAATAATGTATTTCTAATCCAAACTACCAGAGGGTAAAGCTCATGAAGAAATGGTGAAAAGCCTTCATTAATTGTATGAACTAAATAAAAGCATAGTTATCAGGTGCCAACTTGGTATGAAATGATATTATAGGGTGGCTTGTCATATTCAGATTGTTGTGATTAATTCCCTGAAAAAGAGCTTTCAAGAAGAGGCCCCATGGGGTTGGGTGGTGTTTACCTATAGATGGTATAGGGTCACCCATGGTGGGAATTGAGAAGTGCTGCTGAAGAGATGGTCTGCTCCCCAAATAGCTCTTGAATCTACCTGCCACAGACCCATTCCTTGAGGTGGCAGGTAAAGTCAATCCCTTGAAGGAGTTTCCTTCAGATGATCAATGGAGCACCCTTTAGAGTAGGATTGGCAACCCCAGTCCCCTTGCAGGTAAATTGTAAAGATGGGAGGGAAGGGCTGGGTTTGGGAGGACAGGCAGGGAAGGCCCACACAGTGGGGGACTGCTGAGCAGGTGGGGGATCTAGAGGCCTGGGCTGGGATATCTTTCCTTTACCCTTCCAGATGCACTCTCCATTCTGCTCTGTGCTCTGGGACACTGAGCTCTGGGATGCTGACCCCTATGGACCGTAGCATGTGGGTTCTCTTGCTTCCATTGGGTTTGCCTAGTGGTATGCACTGACAGATCATAGGGTACAGGGAGAAAGAAGTCCACGTGTATATTCTCCCAGCTCTCTCTTTGACAGTTTGGAGGCAGCAATTAAAGCTACGGCTTCTATCCTGAAGCCCCTTTCTCCCATGGCTCCAGCTCGTTGTGGGTTCCAGTACCAGCTCCCGTCCTCTGCCTCTTCATAGCCAGAGTGGTAACGAAACAGCTTCCTACTGTTGTTAGTGCTGGGGGCTTCACCGTCCCCTGGGTTCACTTAACTCTGCCTGCACCTTTGCAAAGCAAACCTTCTTCAATGTTCCTCTCCAGTATGCCATATGCCTCCGGCCGGGCCCTGACTGAATAAGGCCAGGTGTGTGGAGAAAGAAAGCAGGAAGAGCCAGGATCAAACTTTGGCTTACTTCTCAGCCCTGTGCAAGGCAGACTCTAGGACCAAGTCTGCTCCAAGTATTAGATAAAACTCATTTGTAATCAGTGTGTGGGTTGTACAAAACACAATGCTTAAGAAGCCGTCCTTTAAATCTTTTATTACTAATCTGCCAAATTCTTTCTTATAAATAGTACAAAAGGAAAGTCCTGGGACAGGTATGCCCAGATGATCTATAACATCCCTTCTGGAACTAACTTATGTATAATGGAGAATGATACACATCACAAGTTCTAAATCAGAAGAGTCAAATGAACAGGCCACACTTGAATAAAAATTAGCCTTAAGGAGAAAGACTTAAGAAAAATAGGTTAAGAATTATTAAAATTCCAAGGTGAACTGCATAGTTGAGAGGAGAACTGAGTGACCAGATACTGAGTCCTAAAAGCAGGGCTCTCAAACTCTATATTCTCTCCTTGTTCTTCGTGCCTCTTGCATATGAGATCAGAAAATTGATCCTTACTGCAATTTCTGTTAGAAAGAAGTGAAGATATGACCTTCATTTTAAGTCTGGCAAGGCTGGGTCAGTCAGACACCCCTTCCAGGGTTTGATTAGCTTCCCAAAACAAGAGGGGTTGGGTAGGTCCAAACATACCCAAAGATAGGGACTTGCAAGGACATACCTGATCAAGTCCAGGAAGGCATCTGCAGCCGTCACTTGTACAATTTTGCCTTCTCTGTGCATGTTTTCCTTTGTGCCCTTCCCAGGATGGATGATGATGACAATGATTATGCCAATCACCACGGCAATGATGGTGGTAGTCATGTAATAGACTACAGCTCGCATTCCCATCTTCCCTGATGCCTTACTATCTAGGGCCGCCATTCCTGGTGAAGGCAAACAGAAGATTTTCGGAAGTCAATCCAGGGAATTCCCCAATGGAAGACAGTGGGAACAGCATTTCCTTTTGCACTCCCCTACCCTTATCCCGGCCCACAATGGGATTCTGTACATGTTATGAGAACTTGGCCCCAAATGTAATTAGGACATCACTAAAGGTAAAGAGAAAAAGCCATAGAATGGCTAGGCATCAGCTGTGTCAGCAAACAATCACTCGTTTTCCACCCCAAGAGTTGATGTCATATGGCCAAATGAAAATTGCTCTCTAATTGTTGGAAAGTGCAATCAAATTCTTTCCTAGGTTACTTCTAGTTGGGAAGGTACAAGTGTGAGTAGTAAGCAGTACATGTGTGTATAAAAAAATATTTTTAAAAAATTTCTGGCAGGATAATATAAATTTACCACAAGTTCAAGCACTGTGGTGATTCACACAGAATAACTGTCATTGAATTCTTTCAAAAGAAGTATTATTTTGTATGTGTATTTGGGAGTCTTTTTGGATGATTTAAATGCAAAATTTAAGCTATTATTCTGATCATCTGCTGCTCTATTTTCAATTTGCATTTAAAGTAGACATTGGGTAATAAGGCCAAAGTTCTCAAATAGTTTCTCTGTTGTTTCATTTCATCTCACCTAATCAAAATTTAAAAACTAATATTTTGGCCAATCTGAGCAACATGGTGAGACCCTCTCTCTACAAAAATAAGCTGAGCATGGTGGT